CGGCGGCGGCGGCAGCAGCAGCGGCTCCCGTTTCGGCTGCAGGTCAGCTCCCGCTCGGGCTCCGCTCAGCACCGGATCCCCGCAGCTCCCTCCGTCTGTCGGGGAGAAGCCGCAGCCTCCCTCCCTTCCTCCGGCGCCCGCCGCCTGCACCGGAGTAACCATGGAGACGGGGCACACCCAGGCAGGGCCGCCTCCTTAAAGGGACAGGCCTCCTGCCGAGGGATCCCCCTCCCCTTGGGACCTTGATGGGGCAAGGGAGGAGGCGCCCCGCTTCCCTCGCCCCGCAGGCCGCCCGAGCCGCCCCAAGCCGCCCCGCCCGCCCCTTGGAGAACTACGGGCGAGCGCCTGGTCCTGCTCGGGCTGACTCAGCCGCAGGGGCGAGGCGTCTTTCTCTGCAGCATTGGGGGTTCTCAGAGAGCCTGGCAGCCTCTCCTCCCCCGGAGGGACCTGAGGAGAGCTCAGGCGGGGGTTGAGCGGAGGGTGCGTGTTTTAGAAGAAGCTTTCCCCTAGGAAAAATGTAACGGGAAAGGGGGCTGGGCCACCAGGCGGAGGTGAAGGCCGGTGGTTTGTAGAGGTTGGGGAAGGGAAAATCTAAAAGGAGATTTGGAAGAGGGAGTTTAAACACAGCTTCTGGGCATCCAAGTCTTTTTTCGCCTCAACTTGACCCTCCGAAAAATGGATCAAGCCATCACTAGGCGATGCCAGGGCAGGCTATAGCTGTCAGGAAATTGGAGAAGGGGTAGTCCTGGAAGTAAGGTTTAGATGCTCTCTGTGTGTGCCCAGCAGGTGGAAAAGAGGTGTGTGAATGAGGGGCACCCCAGATCCTTTGTCTTGCCCTTATATTTCTCTTTTTGTCATCCTTTGCAGCTCCCAGGCTGCGCTAGAGGGTAAGATTGCAAATACAGGGGACAGTAGACATCAGACGCTGGGGGAAACTTCCTAATTTTGTGTTTGTGGGTCCTTGCGAGCAGGTGTGAGAGGACCGAGTCTCCCCTGCCTCAGCCCCTTCAGTCACAGAGAACTAGGTTTTACGCTGAAGGGGGAGCGATGGCTGCAGGGACCCCACCACCACCACTCCGGCGAGGGGGTGGGGAGGAGGGGCCAGTGGGCGGTGTGGAGCCCGCCCTGGGCGGCAGTCTCTCGCTGGTCTCCCTCGCTGCGTCGGTCCCCCCCAGCCTCGCGCTGCCAGCGCCGCTCCTCCTCCCTCCCACGATTTGCTAGCGAGCGCGGCTACCGCCCGCGCCCAGAGGAACCGCCGGGGCCAAAACAGCAATTTGTTTCCGAACGAGTGATGCGGGAGGCTGAGCACTCCACCCCTCTAGGAGACACGTCCAGAGTCATCAGCATCGGAAAGAAAGGAGTGTCCCCCACTCCACCCACCCCTCATCTCCAACAGGGGCCAAAGCCCCAGGCACCTGTATAAAAATGAGCTAGTGCTTGGGGAGGAAAGGGAGGAAGCGTCCCCCTATCCCTATCCTCTGAATCTTGGAATCCTAGTCCCAGGAAGAATGACCCTAAGGATTCTGCAGATTATGCGCCTTATCCCCCTCCCCCACCCTCTCGCGAGTATCCAGGGCCGCGCAGTAACCCCTCACTCTAAGGCTCATTTTTGCCCCTCCAGGCAATGTTCAAGCATAATGCTAAGGAGAGGGTGCACGTTAGGAATGGGCTCACTTTGAGAGACAGGATGAGGCTATAGTTGAAAGCACCGAACTTAAGAACCAGGCTACCTAACTAGGTTTGAATATAGTTCTGCCACTTGCTGTTGTGATTCTCCTTCTGTGACTCAGTTTTCTCCTCTGTGAAATGAAGACAATAATAACTACCTCAGAGGGCTGTTAGGAGGATTAAAAGAGTAAAGGATCTAGAACAGTGTGTAACATTTGCATCATGTAAATGTTTATTACCATCTGATTTTGAGTTTTATAAGAGCCCTGTAAAATATGCAGGGTAGATGCTACTTGCACTCCATCTCACAAATGAGTACAGAGGCAGAGATAGAGAGACTTGCTCAAGGTAACCAAGTGATAAATGGCTAAGGTTCCAATCCTGACAATCTCCCAACTCTATGTCCAGAGTCCATCTCACTCCAGCATTGCTGTTTCCCACTCTGAGGACCCAGAAACAACCCCAGGTTAGCTGTGTGACACTCATGAAGACTGGTCATCTGGGTTGTATATCAGATCCAGATGGTCCTTGAGTTACCCTCGTAAGCCCAACCTGTTCAGACTTTCATGCTTCCAGCTCATCAGCCCGGGCTAGTTTTGAACATCAAGCTAGACGAGACACCTTGGGTCAGGGTGGATAGGCGGTAGAGGAATGTGTGCAGTGACCCAAATATTACAATGCTGACATTTATTGAGCATCAACTTTGTGCCAAAGCACTGTGTTAAGTGCTTTACTTGGATTATCCCATTATTCTTCATCATAACTCTATGAAGTAGTCATTGTTATAATCCCCAATTTACAGGTGAAAACATTGAGGCAGAGAGGTTAAATATCTTGTCTAAGATGCACTGCATCCTCCAGCAGCTCCAGAGACAGTGCCTGTGTCACTGTTTTGGTGTCCTGGTCCGCACTTCCAGAAGAAAATATGCTAACATTTATTGAATGTTATGATTACTCTTCCTATCTCAGAATGAAACAGCAATGTTTCGGGCTTTAAACCCCTTCCCCTGTTGCTCTTCAAAGAATTTGTGTGAAAGTGTGTATGGGGTAGGAATGCAGCCACTGACCCTTTCCTTTAGTCTGGCCTGACTTAAGATGCCCTTTCTATCTAGATGAGTGTATCCAGGCATGGAATCTCAGCCCTCTCCTCCCTTTCACTTTACCTAGTCCCTCAGGTCTTCTGCCAGACCTGGCTTCTAGGTTCCCTCAGGTTGCAGCAATGAATTGATAAATTCCTTGCTTTCCGCCCCACATGCATGCAAACACACACACACACACACACACACACACACACACACACACACACACACACAGAAGGGGTCCATGTTCAGGAGACAGTACAGTGGAGGTTGGGAGGAACTGAAAAGTGAACAGGGGGGGTCAGGGAGCACTGGTCTCATTACAATCTCCTCTTCTTTTCCTCTTTCCCCAATTCTTGACTCAGTGGCCACAGTGAGAAGTCACAGGGAGGGGAAGGGTGAGGAGGAGCCCTGTTCAGAGATGATAGCTCAAAGCTATTGTCAACAAGAAGAAACTCAGGAGGCTGCATTTTGGAGCTGCCGTGGGAGGACTGTGGGAGTATTATCTACAAAAGGAACAAGGAGAGAGAAGGGAAGAGCAAAGCAAGGAAAAAAACTGCTTGAGACACAAAAGATGGAAAAAGCTCCCCCCTCTCCTGAGTGCAGGCGGAGTCAGTTGTTGTGTGCAGTGGCGGAGAACAGGTGGCTGTCGAGGAACAGACTCCAGGGGCCCTGCACCTCCCCTCTTCTCACTCTCTCCACCCTCATTTATGGAGTTCCCCAGGTCTATCTCTCCTTCTCAGGCCATGTGTGGTGGGAAAATCTCAGGCTTCCAAGCCCAACTAGTCTGGGTTTGACTTCTAGCTCCTCGCTGATGGGCTAAATGACCTTGGGCCGGGACAGGGACGGGTGTTGCTCTTAAAGAGGATCAGTTCCTTCACTTGTGAAATGATCCTTCCTCAGAGGATTGTTGAGAGAATGAGATGAGCTTAGTGAGTAGTTGTGATTGTTACTGCAAGTCCCCCTGAGCCTTGCCCTGGCCCTGGGTGCTGGGACCACGGAAGTGAGCTCAGCACAAAGCCTCACTGAAAGGCTTGCCACCTCCACCAAAACAAACACTACGTTTTGGAATAATTTGAGGCCTCCAATACTTGGCCACCCCTCACTGCTGTCATTCTAGGCCATTTTTTTAAATTTATTTTTTATTGAGGGGGAAGGTTATTAGGTTTTTAAAAATTAATTTATTTGTTTATTTATATGGAGGTACTGGGGACTGAACCCAGACCTCCTGCATGCTAAGTACATCCTCTACCACTGAGCTATATCCTTCCCCCCCCAGTTCTAGGCCATTTCTTCTAGTGGGGGATCCTAGCTAGTGTGAGAAAACCTCAGTAAATTTTC